TCCAAGCTGAGAAGGTTTGTTTATTAGGAAATATTATTTTTACTAGAGGTATCTCTTTTAAGATTAGTGGAAAAAACAATGGATAAAGCGATTACCTAAATATTTGATAGGTGGAGCCTTACAATAGATTATTCATAGGTGTGCAAGAGTACAATCCATAGAACAGCAACCAGTGGGGAATAAGGAGGGAAAAAAAACAGGTATTTTCTTTAATCTCAGAAGTCTAACAGCTTCCCGCAGTTGGCTTTAACAAACTGTGCTCTATGTTTGTTCAAGTGTGTTACACCTTAAGAGGGATAGTGAAATGAATGAACGGTGTCTCCCCCCCTCCTGCATCTGCAAAAGAAGATTACTGTCACTTCATCAGAAGGAGTTGAAGCATATCATCTCTCTAAAACGTGGAGGTACAGAGGGAGACAGGCAGGAGTAGACTGTGGAGATGGCAAGGGGGTGTTTGTGTGTGGATATATTCCCCATAAGACTTCCCAGACTATCTGGTAGGGATTAGTATTTTTGTATATGCAGGGGCAACCTTTACCTCTAGACACTATATATGATTACATGTTCTCTGATCAATAATCCCTTTTCATTTTGTTTATCAAAGCTTGCACAGGTGTATTATACTACTGAAATGTAAAAGGCAGAAGGACAGAGCAGAGGTATGAGCAACAGATATTGATAAATAGAGGATTACTCTCTGTTAATCAAACCTGGTTTATATGTTTAGAGATTCATAAGGTTTTGTAGGCTGAAAAACTACATTGCCCCCAGGAATTAACATATTTCAGTGATGTGACGGTAAGATTAAAAAGAGACAAATAAAAGAAGACTATAAGACGAAACTATTGATGAATCTATTCCAGTCTTTTCCATTGTAACCACACTATCAGTGTCATTTGAAACTATTTAGGCACTAACTTTGTCAACTTTTAAACGAAGGAGAAAGTTGCAGGGCTGAAACAATTAATCGGATTAATAGATTATTGAAATAATCTCCTACTAATGTAGTAATCGATTATTAATTCCTGGAGTATAGAGACTCTAAAACATGTCTTTAGCTGACAGAGCAACGCACTTGCAGCAATAATTATACCAAAACTGTGAAACAAATGTATAAATATTTAGCATTTAAGATTAAAAAAAAACTTTTCATCTGTCAATATGCTCTATTCAGAACACTTCCAGAGCAAAAGTTTTAGTTTCACCTTGTTTAATTCTGTTTAAAAAATCTTCTAGGAATATTTTTGCTTTATGTTTATTAATTGAAAGGATAATTGACAGGTTAATCAATTAGTAAAATAATCATTAGTTGCAGTTGTAGAAAGTTGGTTTGTAAATCCAGCTTTAAGATACTCTCAGTAAAGTTATGGTTATTCAGGCTCAGCAGTCAATTTTAAAACCAAGAAAACCAACAGGTGTGCTGTGTAGATCTCCTGCCACACATGGCTTGTTTCACCCTTGTAGATATTTTAAGCTCCTAATATAATATTTAGTTTTCCCTCAATTCAAGTAATTTTACCAGGTGTATAAAATACATCAATATCTTGAATCAGCAGGGATTCCTTAGATTTAAAAATGACACAAAATCAAGTCTTTATATCCACATTTGTGTGACCATTTTTTCAAAAATCTTTTCGCTACTGTAAACAGCAGAATTTCCCTACTGTGGGACAATAAAGGGATTTTCTATTCCGTTCTATATCATGTGAGTGAGAGGACTCTTTAAAGTCTCTTGATATAATATGCTGTGAACTGGTGCCATATAACTAAAGTTATATGAGTCTGAATGTTTAAACAGATACTGGTCAGGATGGATGTATGGAGGGATGGACGGACGGACCTTCAGGACTGTAGGGATAAAGTCTTTAACTGCAATGTATTTTTTGTTTTTTCATACTTAATCTTGAAAATAAGGTACATAGATCAGTAAATCGATTCCATACTTTTTTCAAGAAAAGCCTGTAATCTGGTACACTTTCAACATGGTACCATTGACTGTATATGTCCCACCTGCTGCAGGTAATGCTCCTATATATTTAACATGTTTGCAGAATAGTGAAATTAACATATCTTTCTATTGAGTACACCCAGACTCTTTTGCTCTACAACAGTACAGCTCTGCTCTCACTCTTATGTTGCAGTGAAAGAAACGTGAATGTCAAGGAGCGGCTAATCCACAAATCAGAGAGGAGAGGGACAAACTCTACTATACAGAAGCGGCACGTCGTGTTTTCACAGCCCAAGCTAATTGCGCCACGTTTCAACCGGAAGAGCAGTGATTTAGCAGTCGGAGCAAATTAAAATGACTAAACATAATTAGCAGTGAGTGCAAAAGCACCTTTTCATGGTGCACATTTCTCTCTTCCCCCTTTATGATGACAATCACTTCAGCATGGCTATTACAAACTCTGATGTGTCAAGTACAATGTGACTAATTGCAAAACCCTTGATGTTACCATCATGCTTTTAATTTGCCAGACAGTAAAATATACCCTGAACAGGGCAGTAAAATAATCCACAAACAGCCCTGAAGAAAACAAACATTAAATTGATCAATGAACTGATATAATGCTTGTAATCTAAGAATTAAAACTTAGAGAATCTATTATTAAAGCAATGACAGTGTCATCATGTGTTGTCAAAGTTAATCAGAAGAATCAGTAGAATGTGCCTAATAAGATAATATGAATAAATGATTTATATGCAGAGTTAGTTAGCTTTCTATTTAAGTAAAAGAAAATGTTTCCAACCAAAAAAAAATCCAATTTTCATTTTAATGAGCTCAGCTTTAAAGGACGTACTCTCTGATCAGTTTTTCTTCTTTCTTCTACCGTTGATTACCACACTGATAAATTTCAATCAGTGATTTCTGCAGACAGCCATACTAAACACGCCATTAACTAAACAAACATACACCCCCTCTGACATTGCTGCAACAGACATGCTGGTCATGCGTGGCTGACTGTGCCAGGCAGTCAATCCATGGCATTCCCAGTGCCTTATGTCCCACTTTTCTGGTTATTTGACAATGATCAGGGGTGATGAATTGTTCAATTAAAGCCACATTAAGAATCCAGAACACATTTGACGCGGAGCCTCTCGGTTTAGGTGTTGTCCAATTACTCTGAAGGACAAGACTCCTCTTCACCGCTGACAATCAACATGTGACTCTCATCACAAGACAAATGAGTTTATTTATGCAAGGTAGCAAGGCTAATTGAATTCCCCAATGCAAGACTGATGAGCTGGAGTAAGAAAAATTGTGAAAAAACCTCAACTTGCTTTAGAACTAGATATGCACAGAAGGTGTCAGAGTGTGTTATTTACAGAGGGAAGAGCACAAATAACTACTGTTTATAGTGAGGGCTGCCCTCAGAGGGGTGGCATACCAAAACCATTTGCTGTTGCCATATAAGGGGGGCAGGAGAGGTGGAACTAGGGTTAGGAATGGACATTCAAAAGTGACTAAACAAATATATAAGAGTTTTTCCTCTCATCTATATGAGCTATTTTCATAAAAATATAATTCCTACAAAGAGAACGGTGGGGGGTTGATATTAGTATATGCATATTTGCCCACAAAAAGAGGGATTGTCAGTTTTTCTACTGAAAAGAAGATTACTGCAATTTACTTAGTTTACCAACAAGAAGAAAAGAAGCTGAACTAAATGGCCTGGAGCGATGTTTAGTGCCACACCTCAGGGGAAAGGATTATTATCTTGTAAAATTAAATTACTCAAAGCATTAATAAATCCTAGACCAGTTAAAGGTGCAACTAGTTGTAGAAGGACCAAAACGACTCAAGTTGCTTAAGACAAAGCAGCAAAAAGTATTTTATTCCCTCATTACGAATAAATAAATCACATGCAGCCCTTTTCCAATCTGATGATGGATGATTCACCTCTGCCAGGCAGATTTGAATGTAAGCGCCAGTGTTACTTAGTAACCTGCAGCTATGGATTTTTTAGATGTGATTGCTTTTCTGCCTGGTTTGGTATTCTGTCTGTCCAAATGAAGGCCAAACTTATTTGCCTGACTCAAAGAGCAATGAAGTTGATGGGAGTCAAGCAGCACCCCTCACTTCAGACCATCTTCAATGAAACAATAACCAGACAAGCCCAGAAAATCATCTCAGATCCCACTCATATTCTTTATTCAGAGTATCAGTTTCTTCCTTCAGGTTGACGTCTTAAGAGTCCCTGCCTGTAGATTGAACTGCTATAAGAACTCATTTGTTCTGCTTTTCATTAAGGCAATAAACAGTATCAAGCAGTAAATTGTGGAATAGGCAATGGTGTTCAAAATTCAAACTAAACTGACATATTTTTTTATGTACCGGTATTCATTATCGCACATAACAGATTTTTAAGGAAGGGTTTTTGTAAATTTTTTTCCAATTTTTTTATTGTTAAATGTAATGTAACATCCTTCCTTATGTATTTATTTCTTTATTTATTGTCTTATTATGGATTTTTTTACAGCAGTGTTTTTCTTTTTGGTGTGAATGCAGTGTGACACATAATTTGGACTATGTAGCAGTCAGAGTCTGTACCCAAATCAATTCATTTGGGACAATAAAGTTAATCTTAAATTATCTTATTTTATGTGCGCAACAAATGGGTGAAATTAGTTTTTCTGCAGTTGTTAAAAGCAACAGATGAAAATCTCAGCTTTCTAAACATTGGTTAAAGGGGTTCAGTTGTGAGTTGTGTTTTTAACTGTTTTGAATAATCTTTTATACAAATCAACCTATTAAGAGAAAGACCGAAGTCAAAATATCACAAACATAAAGCAAATGTTTGTTTTGTTTTTTGTTAAGAAAACACGCTCAGCGCACAAAAACTCATTTCTTCCTCTGTTTTCACAGTAGACTGCTTCAAACGGGATTTTAAATGAATTAAAAACTATGTACCTTTTTATACCAACATCTTCAAATCATCCTTTTTATTCTAAACAGCTTGTAAAAACTAAGTACAATAAGAAAAGTTGAATTTACTTACTTTGTTTCAGTGTTTGAGAAATGGGGATTTTTTTTTCTATCTACCCCCTTGCTGGTTTAGGGGGGGCAGTTTTCAGATCCATTTTCTGTGTAGCTGCCCCTTGTAGAACAGTTACGTTGCATCCCCAGAATGCAGAAAAAAGCGTTATTCCACTTTTCAGAACATCATTTGTTAACGCAGGGCGCAGGTTCCTCTTTTATCCCCCGTCTGTTTTGGCTGTACACCTTTCCTTTCAGAGAAAACTGACGCTCCAAAGCAGCACCTTACTCCGGGGGGAAAAAACCCACAAAAAAACAAAACAAAAAAACAAACAAAAACAGCCAAATAATCCGCGCGCGGCAGTGGCGCACGGATCTCCAAATGTGGATCTGTTTTAAAAGAGTCTCCCGTTATCTCCGCGACGCAGATTTGGATTCCTTTTCTTCCCAAATCCACCTCATAGGAGCTGGGGGTGGGGAGACAGGAGTCAGCTACCCCCCTCTCTCTTCTCTACTCGAGTTTGAGGCAGAGGAGGGGAAAAGAAGCACAGAACCCTTGTGTTGCGTTCAGTGTCACCCAAATAAACTAGACGGTAGGTTGTAAGTCACTTCTTGGTGCGTTCAAAAGCATATCAGTCGACTCGGAAATTTAAACTCCTGTGCTCCTCGTATAAAAGACTATTTCTGAGATTGGTATGCACATATACAAATCTCAGAAATAGTCTTTTATACGAGCACAGGAGTTTAAATTTCCGATATGTATATATGTTGTAAGCTTCTCATATATATATATATATATATATATATATATATATATATATATATATATATATATATATATATATATATATATATATATATATATATATATATATATATATATATATATATATTTATATATATAGATAGATATATGAGTGGAGTATTATAGAAAAAACTATATTGCCCCACTTCTAAAAGTCTTTTGCTTCTGTTCTTCTCCTTGGCATATATATATATATATATATATATATATATATATATATATATATATATATATATATATATATATATATATATATATTTATGAGAAGCTTACAACAACTTCAGGAAAAAGGGGTTTTGTGTTTAAAAGTGGGTCTATTTTTCCTTTGGATAAACACTTTACATGCCCAAGTGCACTCTAACAAACAACGTCAGGTACTTAGAGATTCACTTCCATACAAAAAGCCCATACTGATCTTCAGCTACCACAGTATAGAAGTCAGATTAGATAATACTACTTATACTTCTGCGATAGTATAAAGGTGTTACTTTATTGTAGCTCTTATACTATATCCGTTGTTGTGCTGTTCTTTTTACATCTCTTTGTAGGTAATGAAGCAGACTGAAGATGTTCTATTGTTATCTCCCTTTTATCTCCTCTTTCTTGTTCTACTTACATTGCTGTGTCCATATAATCTGTAATACTCCCTGCATGAATTATAATACAGCTATTTATATGCATAAATCAGGCGGAACACTTTGGCAATAGCCGTACTGCTCCATTTGTGAAAGTAAAATCTGTTGGGCTCTTTTTTGGCATCAAGACAATTATTGCCACATTGCCAGACAGGACACTGTATAAAAAATGTAAAAAAAGTGGGTCCAGTGTTAGTAACGCAAACTGAAAACATGTTTTCATGTTTTTGAACCCAGTATGAAGAACATGTACTTAGAGAGCAGTTACATCTAAGGAGCCACTGTGATTGGTTTTACTAAATTGCACTCAGTAACCAGTAGAGTCACAATAAAAGTAAATAGAAAGGATTAAGTTAAAAAAAAATGCAATTCGAAAAATGACTTGAAAATGCAAGATGAAAAAGAAAATGGCAATGAATAAGGAATTACCTTTTCAAATGTATGATTAGTAAAGAGAGCAGTTACATCTAAGGAGCCACTGTGATTGGTTTTACTAAATTGCACTCAGTAACCAGTAGAGTCACAATAAAAGTAAATAGAAAGGAATAAGGAATTACCTTTTCAAATGTATGATTAGTAAAGAGAGCAGTTACATCTAAGGAGCCACTGTGATTGGTTTTACTAAATTGCACTCAGTAACCAGTAGAGCCACAATAAAAGTAAATTGAAAGGATTAAGTTAAAAAAAATGCAATTCGAAAAAGGACTTGAAAATGCAAGATGAAAAAGAAAATGGCAATGAATAAGGAATTACCTTTTCAAATGTATGATTAGTAAAGGTATTTGTAATCAGATTTATGAATTGTGTTTTTTTAAATCTCAATTTAGAAACAGGAATTGAGAATTCATTTCTTAAATTGCAGTGTTTAATAATGGATTTATAAATACATTTAAAACTAATAATCAATAGTTCAATTAAAAATTTTAAATGCTTTTCAAATTGAATTTCTAATTGTATGATTTAAATATTTGATTAGAAATGGCGGTTTTCTTTTTCAGTTGCTCTTGGGGTGTTCCATACAATCATAAGTCCATGATAACTTGATCAAAATAGTGGCATACCTCTCTGGTTATAGCCAGACATTTTGATACCTAAATTGTCAGGGGGCGCCATATTAAAGTCCAAAGAAATAAACCATAATGTGGTTGTGTAGAATAAAAGGTTTCTCCATGCAAATCATGAAGTCTTGCATGCTCCTTGCTCAGTATGGTAAGCCCCAATACATTTTCAGAAAACTCAGTTGTGCAGCAACAGTTTTGCTAAAACGCTTCAATTTATTTAGCACATTGATTGAATAAAAGTTTATTCATTTAAAAAAATACTTATTCCCAATGTATTTTACTATCTATTTAGGTATCAATTTATTTATTTTGCTTTACAGTAATGTCAGACCTAAAAAAACCGACCCCTTTCTCTATGCAACATGTTCAAGGTTTATATTGTAGAGTACTATGCAACAGTTAAAACTATTTGGAGTGCATCTATTTTCTTACTTTATTGTCTTTGACATATCTGGTATAAATAAACAAAATGACATTGACTGAAAATTTTCTACAATAGTGCAGTTTAAGGGTGTGGAACTTCTTTAATCAGTTAATCTTTCAAAACTAAACTGTTCGTGATATGCATAACATTCAAAGTAAAAAATATTTGTTTATGACTAATTGTGGTCTTTATAAAAATTTAACTTTTTAAAAGAGATGTGCTATCTATCTATCTATCTATCTATCTATCTATCTATCTATCTATCTATCTATCTATCTATCATCATCTATGTATATATAAATGCAGAGAGAGAGAAAGGGAGAGAGAGAGGTTCATTGCTCTTTAACATTGGTTTCTCATCAAATAATTGACATTTTAATGCAAACTTATCAGACTTAATTTACATTCATCTTACTGCTTGCTTTTGGATTGCCCATTTAGTAAAAAAAATAACTATGATCAGAAATACTTTTGCATTGAGTAAACTGTTTAAAACTTAAAAGTCTTACCATTAGAACCTATCTAACAGTCATAACTTCAAGGATTTCAGGTATTATACTTATACTGTTGTTGTTTTTTTATCCTAGCTCATACTAAAATAAATGAACACAGGTATATGAAACAAGTAAATGTATGAAACATGAAGCTTAGTATTATAAAAGAAAAACATTTGGTTTGTTGCAGTTGAACTGGTAGTTGATATTATTTTTAATATTCCCTACAGACTTTGACTATTCAATATTCTTTCTTCCTCACATGAAACATTTGAAAATATATTTATTAAATGCAACGTTTTTTACAATTAACTGTGTCGATGTAGCCCATGAAAAAAATATAATAAATATAGCCATTACATTTGTTTTAAGCAGAAAAGGCATAGTCTATTAAGTTTTTTTTTGTGATTATGGTTTTCTTTTTCCTTTTATATGCCAAATTGACTGATTCAAAGAATGCCCCACCCAGTCGCATTAACATTGGACTGGAGAGAACTATTATGATTGGTCAACTTTGACAGCTGGTGTTCACAAAGTCCTGTAGGGTGACTAGATTCCCATCAGAGACATCAATCAGCTAATCAACAGTCAATTACTGGCACTAAGCTTGTAACAAAATCTCATTGCAGGTAACTGTGCTGAGGTCTTTTGAGTGAATCATATATTAGATTTAAAAAAAAAAGAAGTAATTCCTGGTCAGGCGGTTGTAAAAGTGACTGACTTTTTCACGGATTTACTTCGTGGCCTCAGAGCGGAAAAATAACTTGTCCCCTTTGCCCAGTTACAAGTGTACCACTGAAAATCTCTGGCAGCTGACTGAGTGAAAGCACCTTTTAAAAGCATTAAATAAACTGTATGGAGGGAACCTGAAAGGAAATGAGATGGAATTAGGCAATCTTTAGTGGGTGCTAGAACTTTTGAGTCACGGTGCATCAAATAAAAGACCTGTTCAGTCTGAATAGGTGCAAATATATATATATATATATATTTTGTATGTGTGCGTGTGTGTGAACTTTTCAAGTCCTGCAAGCATTAATGGATGGGAACAAGCCCTTTTAAAAAAGAAAGGTCTTCCTGAGTTTTGGCAGGGAGCCATTCCAGAGTCACAAATGAGCCTCCACTGCCCCCTTTCTGCTCTTTGATTAAAATCCAGTGTGACATGTAGGACACCATGTAAACTGTACGCGTGTAAATGTGTTTCTGTGCTTGCACAGAGGAAGATGGGAGGCTATCGTGCAAAAAGCACATGCTTATGTTGCAGAGATTTCTCCCTTGGCCTCTTATTCACACTACAGTCCCTTATTTAATCAAGGCGGTAAATCTTAGAAGCAGCCCAGTGCTCTCACCACTGTTCCCCTGGTGGCACGAGCCTTAACATGCTAAATTTCACTTGGGTAGGGAAATGTGCTCGGTGGCCGCGGCTGGTGCTTTGGAGGGATAAAAAGAGCACTTACTTGCTGACATGTGCAATCCATAACGGAATAATGAGACTCCTCCATTTGGCAAGCTCCCTTCCCTTGCCCTCTCCTTGTTCACGTTTTGTTTTCCTTGAGAGTGTTCATAAATGCCATGTAAATTCAACGAGCGGAAGATGTGGCGAGCGCCCCGGGAAGAGTGTTTAATCGTTTGCATCATGTTACTGATTCTTGTAACAGCATGAGAAGAAGGAAGATCCTGCAAACAACTTGTGAATTTTTCTAAATAACTGACTTATTTTAGTATTTTGAAGAAAAAAAAGTGATCCTCAGTCAAACTAAAAAAAAACAAAACTATATAATGTCTTTTAC